CATAGTAGTTGTCATGATTCCCAGCATCCGACAGTGGACTTGGTACATTCTCAAACGTTTCGCCGGCATCATAGTCGGCAACATCAATGAGTGCTGCCAGTTTCCGCAACAAGCTACGAACTCGTCAAAAGGAGAACTCCCTATGGCGGAGGACTTCGGACTAGGCGCGTTCTACTAAGTCACCCTGACAACAAGACCAAGTCGCGACAACGAGGTCAACCCACTTCACATATTCTTGTTTCTTAAAGCCTATCTCATCCTGATTGGACTTCAGGTTTAATCTCGCCCAGATCTCCTCACATCCCCAACGGGATCGGATACCGAATCGTGGGTATCTTGGTGAAGCTATCATTCCACTCCATTCTATAGCCACGGGTGTCAGAACAGATGCGATAGTTAGGGCAAGCCAAGCCTCTCCTATTTCACATTTTATAATGGGATTGTGAATTAGGCAAACCTGTGCTTGCCATCATAATCGACGCTGAAACTTATTCTTATCTTACGTGCAGGTAATTAGTTCTTGTTCGTTCAGCAAATAACGGAAGAGCAGTTTTATTTTTTACACTATCTCTTTAATATTAAGCTCAATATTGGTAAAAAGACCATACTACAGACAAATAACTGCTCCGAATTTGCAGGCCAAGGCTGGTAGCGGGTATGCTATGCCCGTACATACATTTACGAGGTAGCCTTGGTGACTGGTTTGATGTAACGATATAAGAAAAAAACTTAGTTGCTATGTCTTCTCCAATAGATGCATGTAGTTGTGTCATACATTTCGTTTGAAAAGGTGGATGGAAGGGATTCATGTATTAGCCGTAGTCGAAACCGAAGGAGAATTATAGCCTTGCTGATTTGTGCAAGGAAGTATTTGGCAATCTATTTTTGCTATTTTTTCAAGTGACATTGTCACCACTATAAAGCGTGTAACAATAAGTCAAGAAAAGTGACCGGTAACAATCCTACTTACTTCGTATAAATAATTTTGTGATCGCATTGAAACCTTCCATGACTTGGTCCGTCAGAACCGAGTCATCTACATGTGGACGCATATAATATACGAAGAAAAGTTGGGTTTCGAGGAATCTGTTGTTTCATAATTGTTGGGCTTACTTCCATTTCGAGTAGAAGTGTTTGGTGAAGAGATTCGAAACGGGGCAGAAACGGGACACGAGATTGAATGGTCTCAAACTTGTCGTTTTGCTGATTATGGTATGTTTGCGGCTAAACGTAAAATTAGAGAAGCCATAGAAATAAAGCGAATAGGAAATACTTTGAATGTAAGGAATACCGCGGCAAGAAGATACGTTAAAATACTATTTGTGCTTAATTGATAGATTGAAAGATAGAGAGGGAGTTGAGCCGCCTGCAAAAAGGAGGCGACGCAACTAGTCTTTTCTTATTTTGGTTCTAATGATAGGAAGTTGAGCCGCCTGCAAAAAGGAGGCGACGCAACTAGTCTTTTCTTATTTTTTGGTTCTAATGATAGTCAATTTTCTGTCTTTTTAGCTCACTGTTTCTCCCTCGCATTGTGACCAAAAAGCAAAAATAGGCTCATGAACAAAACCAGACGTGTCCGACCTTGCGCAATCG